AAAAATGAATAAAAATGGGCACAAAATGAAATATGAGATACGAAAAGGGACTCATTATAACCTTTTCCTTCTTTATCACCGTGTGCGAGTAGTATCTGCCACCCAACAAAAGGAAAACCAATACAGCTCTATAGGGCTAAATTAAAACTGACTCTCAAATGGCGCCTTGTCCATTATAAAACCAGCCTTCAAAAGGAGCTATATAACGGCCCCACCGTTGACAAAAAAAATTCATTACATCGTTACAACGGGCACAAGCAATTACTCAACGTATTGAAAGCAGTTAAGAAAAAACTAATAGTTATTGGAGATAATTAAATCTAATAGAAGAACGTGAAATAAAAAAAGGAAAATAAAACATTATGTGCTATAAACTTTAAATTGCGAACATTTCAAATTGTAAGACGCCCTAAGAATAAACAATTTGCAATTAATATTATAACTAATTAAAGGGAGTAATAATATATACATTTCTTTTTAGAAAAAAATAATTTAAAAAAAATTGATATTTAATTTCTTAAGGTTTTTTTTTAATTCAAAATCTGAATGCCATAGCTTACTAAATACATCATTAAATCCAATGATGGGGAAGTTAAACTTTACGGACAGTGCCGAAAAATGAGCACGTCTCCAAAAAAGCAGTATAAAGAGCTATCAAGAAAAGAAATCTTTATTTATAGGCAACTCGAAAAGTTGATTTTATTCAATAAGATTTAAATGGCTCTCAATAAAAATAATCTATATTTGTACACATGTTTAGGTTTATTATCTTCGTTAATAAGAACATTGTATTGACTGTATTTTAAAAATGATGATCAAAGAAAAATTTCTACCAACGTTTTTAGCAGAGCTTAGTTTTTCACATGTTATTGTTGTCGGTGTATTTTTTTTAAAATTATTATTACTAATATGATATCACTTCTTTCCATAATTAAACCTGAAGATGGCTCACTAAGACCAGAAATGTGCTTTGAAACTTGAAATGTAATTAATTGTAAATAACTTAAGCACATCAGAAGACTTTAACTTGCCAATTTATACAGTCAAGAGTATACATGTTACATATTGAACACAACTCTGTTCATAAAGAGAGAGAAAGCTCACACTTATCGATGATATGGCATCCCTTGTGGGGAAGCAAATTTTTTTTTTTTTAAATTAATGTATAAATGTTTTATTTATATACATTTAAAACTCCCAACTTCAACTTCTGCTAAAATTTCCAACATTAAAAAAGTTCAGTCCTTTTAGTCAAAAGTGTTGCGAAGGATATTTGACGCACCGTTTTATGTCGCAAATGATACATTACATAAAGACTTAAACGTACCTACAATTTTAGATACTGCAAAAGAGAACTACAATAACTTTCAACAAAGACTGACGTACAACATGAATCTCCTGACAGAAATCCTTCATCGTACAAGAAACCCGTGCAGCCCACAACGACGATTACGTAGGCGTTAGCCAAGAGACCTGCTGATCTGATTTATTCCCGGACGTAAAATTTGCTCATTGCAAAGAAATTTGATCTAATGTTCTACATTTTTGTTTGGTTAATAAATAAATAAATAAAATATACATTTTTTATATTTTATTTATTTGACAATTTATAATTATTAAAGAAAAAATATTATAATTAAATCATAATGAAATATGTTGGTTTAGTATATACGAAAATGGGCTATACAATTAATTATAGTTGAGGCATCATTGATTTAAAAAACAAAACAAAAAAAACTGGAGTTAGTGAAAGAGAAATATTTTCTATCCTTAATGTTAAATTAATTAACGATGATGTTTTGAAGGTAAACAGGGCTGAGAAATGGTAAGCTCGGGTTAAACAGGAGATTAAATGGACGGGGTTTGATATTGCAATTCCAAGACGACCTCCTCATTGCTTAGGGTATGTAATCAATCAAAGCCTATCCCACTGTTGACATCATTAGTAATCAATTTAGTGGCTCTAGCACAGGCGGGTAATCAGGAGCAGCGGCCGATATTCATGTACCCCCCGCCATCAATAACATCCACCATGCAAATTAATTGATCTCTCATATCTTGTCTTGCAAATTAAAATACTTTACTACCAATCGACACTATTGAGCTGGTGTTTGTACGTCAAGCTTGCGAAATAGTTCTTAAACATCTTTATACATTATTTCTCTGAGGTATTTTTTTTTCCTCGGTAAGCCAAAAAAAATCTTCCTTCATACTTCAGCATAAATCCGATGATTGAGTCCACAATGTTTAAGATTATCTTCTCTCCGAGTATCGAACAATAAGCATATGCCAAAAAAAAAAATACATAAAAGAAGTAATAAAGAAAATAAAACTTTTATTTGCATTCAACTCAAAAAGTAAGGCTAATACCAAATCATCCAGCCGAAGTACCATCGGACACCCAATCCTCTCTCCATGCATTTAATGAAAACCTATAGAGTCAATTTTATTTGTGAATCTAATAGACAAACGAGGAAAAATGTCAAATTTTACCTTAACGATCTAATTTTATCTAACCAGTAAATTAAAAATTATTATATGAAAAGGAGTTAGTCGAGGGGCGGTCAAATAAATAAAAAAAATTAAAATATATAAATTATTTTAATTTTTGCCGACGTTTTGACCCACTTTGCAGGTCGTCTTCATGGCCAGTGTTTCAACTGCCTCCCGCAGTGCCACATCCTTCGCCCTGAAGACGACCTGCAAAATGGGTCGAAACGTCGGCAAAAATTAAAATAATTTATATATTTTATTTTTTTTATTTATTTGACCGCACCCTCGACTAACTCCTTCTCATATTATATCAACGGTCAACCATCTCTACATCATTAAAAATTATTATTTTCTCAATTTTTTAGATTTTTGAAGTTCGGAAGACAATTTGAGCTCTAAACTAACTTATATGTGTTTGAGATTTGCTATATAAAATCAATATTTATTGAACTTGAGATTTTAAAATTTATTCATTTATATTTTATTGCAGAATCAGGTGATACGGTAAACAATAAAATGACAACTTTTCATCGTGAATAAAATAATTATTAAACATATAAATTATAATTTTCACAACGTTGTAATGCAGGGCTTTTGAGTAGTCTTATTTCAGTTAAAATCCAATACAGTAAATAAATTTACATGCAATATTGTATCTAATTCACTGAAGAAATGAAAAAATTGTCAAAATTGGACCATTATAAGCAAATATACATCATATTGAAATTTTTACATATAATTGGATTTATTATTTTCAATAATAAAGCACTGCAACTGACTAAGAAGAAAAATCAAAACATAATCCATCTCTACCAAAATTTATTGTATTTGCATAACTCAAATAAGATACCATTTGGCCAGTATGTAATATACCATGAGAATTATTCTAACAGACCAGTTATTAATAATTAATTAAATTTGTTTAAGTGGTAATATTATAGGCAATATAAGATAGTGGTTAATATATATTATATTACCCTGATATTTATATACTATTTATGAATGTGTGTATATAGTCAACATAAAGAATGACTATATAATAAACAAACATATCTATATATTTAGAGTGTAAATATTGTTCAGAATTTGAAGATAAAAAAAAATTATATTCGTCAATCGTTGTATCAATCATTTGTATTAAAATAGATGTTTCTATTTTATATATGTTTCTACAATTTTTATTTGTTGGAATATACAATAATATTGTAATTAATTTTTTTATTGATTAATAAAGCGATTCAAAAAAACTTCCGTATTTATCCGTAAATGCAAAAGAATATAGTTAAAAAAGATATTCCTGTAATGTAAAGAGAGTTTATTTCCGTTTGTAACAGAAAAGTTAAATTGTATGGCATTTGGCTAGTATTGTAATGAATAAAACCAAATGTTATAATTTAAAATACGCTCTATTCACATTGGCACTGAGGTGGAGTTAGTAATATACTGGGGTATTAAAACCTCAGTATAATCAGTACTTAATTGACAGTAATCCAATACGCTAAGCGCCTCGTTAATGTGTCGTGAGCTGTTTATCGAGGAACTGTAATTAAAATTAGCACATTGACCGGTATTTTGAATCTAAAATTCAAACAATTCGTTTTATTCGTAATTTAGACTAAAAAAGTTCGATGACAATTTATGTAATTTTTATTTGTCTGCTTTCTCATTTAATTTACTTACCCCTAAAGAGAAAACCGGTAATCTAACCCTATGAACCATCTACAAAACAAAGGTAACATTTAATTTTCATGATTTACAACAAAATCATAACAAGTATATTCATTAGTATTTCAAACTACTTTATTTCGATCTATCGCGACAAAACTTGATAATTGTTAATGTTTAGTTTTTACAAATAAGTTACAAAAGAAAAGTTACCCGAGAACAATAAACAGTTATTCATTATAGGAAAAGAAGCTTACGCATTATGAATGCAATTACTAGTTTGGCATCCCTTGTGGGGATAAGTAACTATTTTATACCTACAATTAAGTTAAGCACTAAATGCAAGAAAGAACTGATCCTATTCTCTATTCAGGATAGAAATAAGTTTTGTAATGATAAAATTTCATACAGTAAATTATGGTGTAAAATAGGCTTATAGTAGTTGGCCTCTGCGAATTATATGTAAAACAATTGGTTAGCGAACAAATGAAAAAATAATAAGTTAGGTCAATATATTATGAGAGGGTGTAATTTTCTTTTCCTAGGTCAGTTGGAATGGTTGATAGATAATATTAAAGAAAAACAGATATACAAATTACATTAGGCTCTTTCTTTGCTAATAATGTTCCGATTTCGATAATTCTTCTTTGTTTTCGTAGGGAATGTAGTAACATTTCAAATAAAAATGGGTGTAATCAAAATTAAATTCTACACTTTTTAAGTTATGCACAAATAAAGTAGAGGATGTATCTAATTTTCCCACTTGAAGGTAAAGATTAATTTAGTAACGAATCACCAAAACTGCTGACAAACTTTGCCGCGAACCGGACGATGAGGTAATCATGTTAATGGCCGCCGTGTTACAGGAAGCGGTCGACATGGGAGATATGCAGGGGGCAGTGTATATACACACATACATTAGTTACAACATACCTCTGATTTCCCCAGTGCCGAATAGATCCAACCTTCCTGAGGGACTACGGTAACTGGGTCGGGCTTAGTTACCGCCAGCTGTCGATAAATCATTTGTACCAGATATCGACTGTCCATTCGTTAGCAGCGGCCTCTAGTTCCCAACCTTTGTTAGAACTACCAACATCGGTGGGGATCCAAGGTCGAAAAATAATTATAAATTTAAAAATTAAAGAATGTCTTCTTTCATCTAATATATGTATCTTCAAGGCCAATCAGTAATCCAGTAGGAGTAAATCAGCCCTAAATATCTAAAGGGAGGGAGGTGATTCACATTTTTCAAACTAACGTTCTTTCGTTTAAATTTTAGTAGATTTTATTTATTTTTTCCCAATAGGTCTGGCTGGTCCAAGATCCGCTTTATGGTATTTTTTTGAAGAGTGTAATCATATACTAATTGTATTAGAAATTTTCAAATAGTCATTTTTATTTGAAAATATTTATCCACTATTAATATAAGAGAGTGGTGTAGCTGGGGGGTAGGGTACTGAGCTTCCAATGCTGAAGGTCTCAGGTTCGAATCCCGGCTCGTGGCCGAAAAATTATTTATTCTGGTTCATTGGCCGTGGGTAGGTATACACTCCAGCCTCTATAAAGTGGGTATCCTCAATGAGAATGATTAATTAAGGATAATGTCCTAGAGACAGACTATAATATTTTTCAATAAGTATTCAATCTGGCGGTTGAGCGTGATTTCGGTCAAATAACCTCCTTGCACAATCATAGACCAAGAAAATAGCGCTGAGCCCAAGATCATTCAATGGTTGTAGTGGTACAGGTTTTTTTTTTTTTTTATTAATATAAACCAGCAAAAACACCCCTATATGAGACAGTAAATATATCCCATTGATTAGGATTTTGGATGTCGTGAGTTCCTTTTTTTTTTTTTTTTTCATAAATGATGATACCTAAATTGTCCAAATGTTGACGGATTATTTTGTTCTTTATCTGTATTCAAGAGACACAAGAGTGAGTTGTATTTTTCCAATTATGTCCTAATTATTTCTTATTTTCACATATTTTATTGAGATATGAGATTTTATATCTTAATTACAATATTTTAAAATATCAATAAATGCTTCATACAGGATCGGTTGACTTGTGTTTTTAAAACTTTTTTTAAGACAGCTTTTAGAGTTTTTTATTTTTATTTTTGGAAATTTAACACACAACATATACCGTGCAAATGGTATCAATCAGATTTGTAACTTTGAATAAAATTAATAATTAGAATACATACTTTACGGCAACTAGGAGTTTCTTGTATTATATTATAATGTCCAAAGAAAGAACTTACCTAAAAAAAAAAAAAAAAGTATATTAATAACCTTTCAAATAAAATATTAAACAAATTTAATACCTATACATTATGACAGTAAAAGAAAACATAATCATATACTTAAATCTAAACAAATGGTTCATATAAACACATAAAAACAAATATATATATATATCACTGTCAGATGATATTTCCCAATTAAAATGTCCAAATCTTACCTATTTTTATATCTATGTATAATATAGATCGAATAGGAAAACGAAATCGGGCATTTGCAAGCCAGAAAACCCAATCAGATCAGCAAACAGGGACACGAGACCAAAAACTAAGAAGGGAACCTTGAGCAAATTTACTTAAAAAATGTGATTGAATCATAACTGTATGCACAACGTAAAGAAGGTTTATTGCCATCATGGCCATTATATTGAAAAGGAGTAGGGAAATTGTTATTTCTCCGTGTACCTTATGTTTATTCAGCCAAGTGAAATATTAAAACTATAATAAACAAAAAAAAAATCAATAAATAATAAATCAAACTTCCAAAAATAAAAAAAAACAATCCAACGACCAAAGTCTTATAACACAGCACAAGAAAATTAAAACCATGGACAGATACTCCAAATGGAATTAATTCGAACAATTTGCATCCGACTAGTACGGAAGGGGGAAGAACATAAGAAACCGGGTTCCTGATGAATAAAGATCAGACAGAGAGGCTCCGTGACCATGTGACAAGGAAGAAAGAAGAAGCGTCCCCATTGGAATTCATGAATGGGCAAACCTCAACTCTACTTCATTCACAATCTCCTCCTCCCCCCCCCCTCTACCCAGTCAGCTGCTGGCATACTTCTCTCCTTTTTTTATTTTATTTTCTTGTTTACTCTTGAATATATTTTTTTAGGAAGTTCTTTATAAGATATGGACTGGATTGATAGAAAGATTCGCGAGGAATGAAAATTCCACGTAACGTACGTGTCCTACATAACTTCAGTATTAAAAGGCGCAACTTAAAAAAAATATATGACTTTATTAAATGGGGCAACATAAATTACATAACTTTTTCGTTTTGCATAAGCAGTCAAAATAAATCGTATGCATTCCACCTCATGCCATTTCACTTAAAATAACTCCATTGTGAAAGTAACAAACGAATTTATAGAAATAACAAGAATAACACTAGATGTGGAAACTTCTTGTACCAGAGATAAAGTGTTATTGGTTTTATGGGTTAAAAAAAAAAGAAGATAATAATGAAAATTAAAAGTCAATAAACTGTCAGAAGTAGCCGTTGGGCAATAAAAAAACATAAGTAACAAAATATTTAAAGAATTTAAGAGTCCCCTTTTTAAAAAGCTTTTATCTGAAGTAAATGAACAAATCTATTATTGAGTCTTAAAAGCTTCATTCTAGTTTAATCCAACGGGTGCTGTCTTCTGTAGACCGATTTTCAAGCTATTTAAATTCTAATATCGTGTAGGAATTTACAGTAACTGAAGATAGGTTATGAAGAGAAGAATAGTTGGGGTGATCAGTCAAATAAGAAGGCAAAAATAAATGATAATATTTATTTTGACATTTGCCGACGTTTCGACCTGAAGTTCAGGCCTTCATGAGGGTTGAGTCCAAACGTGTAAATCAGAGCATTGCTCCGACTACTCAGACTTGACTCAGCCCTGATGAAGGCCTGAACTTCAGGTCGAAACCTCGGCAAATGTCAAAATAAATATTATCATTTATTTTTGCCTTCATATTTGACTGATCACCCCAACTGTTCTTCTCTTCATTATTCACGACAGTCAACCATTTACCTACAATTAAGATAGGTTAATTTGGTCAAATTTAAGATTTTTTTCCCTCTGAATAATTTAAAAAGGGGTACTGTAACGTATTTATAAAGAGACGGTAAGTATTGATAGAATACTGTAATTTATAATCCGCACATGCATGGTGTTTATCATTATTATTATTTATAACATTATTATTATATTTCAGACTGAAACAAACCTCTTAGTTTTTGTTTTAAATAGGATATAATCATAAAAATTATAGAGACATTTGATTGACATAAAGGAATAACTCCAAATTTTGGAATTTTTCAAAACAGATTAAAGAAAAACAAACAAAAAAAAATTAAATATTTATTCTGGCTTCATCACTAGTGAATTGGTTGAGGGAGTAGCGCAGGGATCTGTTAGAGCTGTTTTCCCTTCTATAGTGGAGGAAGAAGCCTGGCTTTGGGTTCCCTACCTGATTGTATTTATTGTATGTAGGCATGACTGTGTTTTTAATTTACTTATCTTTAGGTTATTTTATTTTTTTATTGTACATAGTTTTTTTTAAATTATTATTTAGTTATTATTTTACTTTTGTTAATTTTATATTTTCTGTATATAGGGTGTGAATGTGGTCATTTATCACAATAATCATTGTCCATGAGACAGAATATTATATGTATAAATAAAAAAAAAATGTTTATTATTTATTAAACAAATTTCTAACATACCGGCCTATCATCCTTGTAGATTCGTGTATTACAGAGCAAATTCATCTTTAAGTGTATATTTATTTTAGCCATTAAATTAAAAAGATTTTAATTATAAAACTGTTAATATTTTTAATGAATCCACTGTTTTGTGTGAAGCTGCGAATAGGAAATGGTTAATTCTCTTTTTATTTTAGTAATAGCACCGCCCAGGATAGAAGTAAATGGCCTACCTTCCCAGGAGACCAATCCAAAAGTAAAGCGTAATCCTTCGTCTTCTTCCAGGACTCTTCTGCCTTGGGAAGCAAGTCCACGGGGAGTCTCCAACTCTTGTTTAAACGTTTCCTATTCATTCTTTATCAAGAGAATCCCTGAGGAGATAATTAAACTGCCAATCACCCAGTTAACAAGATACAGTTAACTGCTATAACACATATTTATTCGAATTAGGTTTTAAACACACTTCGATTTTTATTTAGATATATAACTTTTTTTTTTAACGGAAATACTTCTATCCAACTTAAGGAACCTACTTTCATATATAATTAAATTACTTAACAGATTGTTTTTAAAATATCCATGAACACTTAAATTTGGTTTAGTCTGGCGCCCTCAACCCCACAATTAAATTTACTAGTCAAAAACTGTAATGTGTAATAGTAGGAGGCATCCAACTGCTACGCAGTTTTAATATTCATAGGCAAAAATGTAATAAAAACATTTTTGTCAGAAATCGACACTTGAAATTTCGAGTTTTACTACAGTGACGTTTGGAAAAAATTCCAGGTCATCGAAATAGTTGTAATAGATTGTATTGTAAATACTATAACTATATAATATTATAAATTATTTAAGACAAATCGATTTATATACCGGTTTATAAATTAAGGATATAATTTATTCTCTTTTATCATGAAATAAAAATTATTGTTCGGCTCCTGATTAAATTTTTATAAACTAAAGTATTTTCATAATTATTTTACATAATTGGCAACATATTCAATATTTGTAATATTCTATTCCGCAATACTGAAGATCTTATAAAAAAATTACAAATTTTATATAAGTCAGTAAGAAATCTAACAGAAATAAAACAGCATCTCATTGATAGTGAAAATTAGATAAATTATCTGTTATTTTTAAAACTTATTTCAGAAACTGTTTTTGTTTTTTTTAAATCTTTTTTAACCACAGCAATAGTTTCTCAACAAATAGTTTTAAGGCGATTATAAGAAAAAAAAATCAATGAAAAATCCAGGAGTATAAAGAATGTGAAAAAATGTTTGGATTAGTTACAATTGAGTAGTGTTGCCCAAATGCAAGACCAAGTCTTGCAGTTACCTATTAGCATATTACTTAAGAGATTTTACTGTAATTTTTCAGATAGAGGAAACCTAACTCTAAACCTAAATTGGAACAGTTAAATGCAAAAGTATATTGGTTGTATAAATTCTTTACATATAGTAACTGTTTTGCCTTCATTTTTTTTTTTTTTAACAAAAGCGATTTTTATTTACTAGTATTGGATTTTGAGCAACACTACAATTGAGTACAAGCATGGAAGTAAAATCGCGTAATTTTTTTTTTTTTTTTTGGTTTATTTTTTTTATTCACACCTGTCATAATGGTAATGACAACCAGTGAATTTGAGGTAGATTGGAAAAAATAATGTCATGAAAGGCATTACGGTGACCCAGCGGCACCTCACTCGGCGTGATATCTACGTTAGGCGAGGAGGTCCCTCATCCAGCTCCTCTTCAGTCTCCTACAGACGTTACCTGGCATATTCGTAGTGGCCATGTCATTTATAAGTGTATTAGGATGTCCTTGTAAGTTGTCATGGAATCGTTTGTAATGAGTTCGTTAACAGTCGGCATATGGAGGTCAGTATGTAAGGTTATGTTGCTAACGTACCAAGGTGCTTTTGTGATTGTCCTGAATGTTTTTGCTTGAAAGGTTTGAAGTTTGTTTAAGTGAGTCTTTTTAGCAGTTCCAAATATTTGTGATGCGTAAGTACAAATAGGTTTTAGTAAGTAATTGTATGTGTTCAATTTCTGTCTAAGTTTTAATTTTGAATTTTTCGAAAGAAGTGAGTTCAGAATTCTTAATCTTTGATTTAGCGTTTTTCGTTTCTTGGTTATATGTGGGCCCCACGTCATTTTTCTGTCAAATGTCAGACCAAGGTAGTGAACGGTGTCTGTCTGTGGAATCTGTGTATTGTCAAGGAAAACTGGAGGGCATGTTTCATGTCGAATTTGAGCTTCAATAGAAGAACGTACGAGATTGAATTTAAACTTCTTATATAATAAAAAAAGAGTATATTTAGCTAAAAATATGAAACAACAGTGCTCATCAGAGATGTGGTATGGATTAGGGGCGTGGTCTTAGTCCGACTAGTGTGACGTATCAGGATGCCAGATACTGTCAGAAGTACGAGTTTCTCGTCTCAAATTTATAAAATATATGTAAACAAAAAGATAGGGTCACTATTTTAAATACAAGACACCCAATGTTAACCACTAGAGGATGGCATGCCATGACGTGTCGTAAGTATACTTCTTTATTTATCATTATTGAATGATGAGCCTTACGGTGCTTTTTAATTAAATTTCCAGTCTTTTCCAGGTATCCCAGGTGTGGAGTTGTCATCCTGTTGAATAATAAAACAGATCTGTTCCCCTCGATCATCCAAAACATACATTATAAATACATAACCCCATCCTGTTATAAAATAATGATCATTTCCTTTTAAAAAATATTCCGAGTAGAAAGCCCCCTTTAATAATTAACGACGAAAGGAGACCGGAAGGAGAAAATAAATTAATTCATCCCCTAGTTTTTTTTTTATCCTTGTGCCACCACAGGCCGTCCGGAATTGGCGCGCAGGAGTAGAGAATAAAAAAAATATAGCGGAAGACTGAATTAAAATTGTCGAGTTTTTAAAAACGGTTCACACAGTAGGCTGGAGGCAGATAAACTGGCTTCATTATAAGAAGAGAACCGGTCTGCGCCCTCCTTAAGGCTTCCTTCCCAGGACCTCTATACGCACTTTCTCCGTCTCCTTCCAAGGCTCCTATTATCATTTCATCTCTGTAATAACCGTTCCAATGGGAACGCAGGGGTTCGGGAGTACCCGCCAAATGGACGGCTCTGGATCGCCCAAGTAAAATGGCAATGATCGATTCCCGTGTAATAGGATAATTATATGGATAAAAGTGGTAATTGATCCGATAATGACACGGTACAGCATTCGGAGTTCATTCAGAATGGAATGCGACTTTCACATACTCCTGGATTTACAGATCAATTCAGAATCATTGATTTTACTTCCATTGAAGTCAACAGAGAACAAAATAAAACTATGTTTTGTAGGCCAGACATATTTTTTTTCTCGACAACTGACGAACCTAACACATCACAACGTCGATTTATAGCAAAAAGCAACAAAGTACATTTTTAATGGAGCAATACTTTTCGATACTTTTTAGTGAATTTCAAACTTATATATCGATGAAAAAAAGTTGCATCACAATGATAGCAATCTCTCTGAGGTATCAAGTTGCACTGAATACACTACGCTCTGTGATTTCACAGAGAGAATATTCATTAGTAATTTAATTTTATAAAATGTTACTGACATTTTGCACAGAACCTATGATGTCCTAAGAACTAAAAAAATTTCGTTTGGCTTTGTTGCGATTCCTCTTCCTTCTTTATATCCTTGGAGAGAGGGCACACAAATGGACATCGATGCAGGAAAAGGTTTAAACGTAAATTACGAAAGTGTATGTTATTAAAAGTAAAATGGATCTTGTTAGCCATTCCGGAGCTGTTACTTTCAAAAATGGCGGTTGATTAAACGCCACGTAACTTGAGGATCATAACACGAAATATATTGCAAAAAGTGTGGGAAATAGTTTGTATTATTTAAAATTTGTATATATGGGTTTAAACATGTTAACACCAAAATTGATAAAGCGAGGACATGAGGATAAACAAGAGGACTTTTTTACAGCCTAAAAGGCTATTTTTTTTTCTTCTATAACTACTAAATCGTGCATCAAAGTGTTTAATTCATTAGGAAATTAAAAGACTTTAAATTGTGCGTCCAACCAATATCCAAACTTAATAACTTAGTTGAGCGGTATATTAGAAAGCCTAAGTCAACGAACGTAGCTTTTTGTAAAAAGTGAGAACAATAACTGGTCCAGCAGCTTTTAAATCAATTCTCAAAGGATAACAGTTGTGAAGCATCTAATTCCGCGTCCACTGAATACCAACAGTTTTATTGTAGGTCATTTATATCTGTATAATCAGAGCAATAAGCAGTTTTTAAGTTCATAGGAAGTATATTTTCAGCAAAAATAATAGCACCAAAACATCAAAAACCTTGAATTTCATTCCACCTTTTTTTTTGTTTTTGTTATTAACTGATTAATTATTTTTACGTGAAAATTTCTCTAGGCGCGTTTTGCACATATGTTGTAGAGGATAAATTAGATTGAGCCGTCAGATCTCCGATGTGTAAGGCTCGGGTAAAGTCGGCTGGAGTCGACTGATTGAAGTGCATAAGTTTGCATATTGTAAGTGAGGGAAATGTTCATAATTTCATACTCTCGAACTTATTATTATCTATTCCGTTTGAAGTGATATTGCCCTTGCATAGATATCATCAGCTGTAATTGCCAGTCGGATTGCAAAATTGTTATTTATATCACTTCATCGCTCGATAAACCTGCCCATATTATTAGCATATAGCAAATATATTTTTAATTAGTAAAATATCATACCATCTTTGGTCGTATTGTCGTATTCAGGGCCCCAAACAGGAATGCCTATTTTGCAAAGACAAACGTTTTCATTGGGGATTCATTTTAGACTATGTTTAAAAGATTGCGTCTATATCATACCTAATAATCAAAACATACTGGAATCATAAACGACTCCGGAAGGGTATTTTCTGTGGGTCGGCGGTAACCCCAACGGCAGGGACCCATGCCATAAAGGAATGGAAGGGGGATATACTGGATGGGGGCCTGGCTGGGAAGTGGAGGGTCATAAAAAATAAGTAGTGTATTGACCGGGTCTGGGGGAAGGCTCTGGGAGTGTGTCGTAATGCAGTACGGGGAGGATAAAACTTCATAGGCCAGGTGTCACTGTAATGATCACAAGTATCACACAAAATCAACCGTCCTGAATTTATTAAAATATATTGTTTAATTTATTGAGTACATTACATATATATTTCGAAGTATTTTAAATATTTTAATTCAATACATATTTTATTACTCTTTCTTAAATAAATATCAACGTAACAATTAAAAATTAAAAAACTGTTTGTAGGTTGACTCGTAAAAAAATTTTGGGAAATCACATAGGTCTATCGTATGTACTTTATATTTCTTTATTTACAAGATTATA